ACTGATAAATTCGTTAGTAAATCGATCAAACGTGTGTGAGTGGATTTGCGTAAAGATGATACGTGATACGATTAATGTGACAGACAAAAAATTTATTATTATTCAGTGTTGGATTTGTGAGAATCTTGTCGGAATTCACAGATGTGGTATTATTCTACCTTTTTCCAGCTCGATTACGTATGAACATCTCTACAAGATATGAACATCTCTACAAGGTATGTGAGAGAGAGAAAGAGAGAGAGTGAGAGAGAAAGAGAGAAGGAGGGAGGGGGAGTAAGCGTTAAAGAGAGGTGGGGGGGGGGATACGCGTGTATTATCTTGACACGCGTTTCATACGTAGCAAGCAGCTGATTGCAATCGGGCGCCCCGCGTTGGACGATGAGTTGCGTCGCTCCTGCCTACCTTCCGTACGCGACCCGTGATTTGCTAACTTTTTTCCCTTGTAATTAAAAAACAGCTTCGGATAAAATTTTGACTAAGGAAGAATTGTCTTAGAATCACGTCAGGAATACATTATTTTAAAGACAAACGCGTTTTCTGAGATACCCTGTATGTTAATACATCCTGATCAATTTTTTGTCGTAAAATGCAGGTACAAAGAACATTAAATGTTGCATATAAGTTTATGTACGAGTACATATTAGATAGGGTTAAATTCTGCATTCGCAAATGTAAGGAATTGCAGATACATTCGATTGATTACGATATATTCTTAAAAATTATCTATCTGTTCGCGCGCGCGCGCATTCACAGATATATTCAATTTACAATTGATATGGATAAAAACGTTTAAGATATTGTAGTAGAAATTTTTCGATACAGGTACAGCCAAATATATGCAAATAATTTCTCATGAATACAGATAAATCTCGTACATGGATTTATCGGTTTCTAATGACAATTTCCGGCAGGAAAAAACTTAAAATGTTTTTTTAGAAAAATTATTTGTTGGATTATTTCCAAAGATTTATTTATTGTTTTCTCATATTGAATTATTACAGATAAATAATATACTACGTTTTATTATTTTGATTTCTCTTAAGCAAAAAATTAAATGACAATCATTGACAAATGATTCAATCTAGCTCAGGCTTATCTGAAACAAAAAGCAAATAAAAGTCATTGTACTATATATAGATTTGTTTTTTAATCCTGCACTGTCTAAACTAGTGCATATAACATGTTGAAGTGAAACAATATACTTTGGTATTTTATATCTTTTCGTTTTATTTCAACTTATTACGTCGTGTGCAACAATTCATAGTGCAGGAATAAAAAACAGACATAATAAATGTAAGAAAACGGACCAATTTTTACAAATTTTCTGCAAACATTTTAAAAGAAAAATAAGTGAAAATTTTCAAAAAAATTTCAAAGCAATTTTTATATATGTAACCAAGTTTTTACAATACCGTCTGCGATTCCACATCGGAATGATAGTCGTCATCGTTCAAACAAATGTTTACAACATTGCTATTTCCCTTCATTATCTCAGCGTTTGTTTCATCTACAATATGAGTTCATACTTTATGCACAACAGTATAAAAAATAAT